CGGCGACGGTTGAATCACTCGTCCTCTGTTTCTACTTTGAGGGAAATGAAGGCAAATATGCATAATAAATACTATCTGATGAGATAAAAAAGAACGGGAAGCTACATGACGTATCTGCAACAAACGCGTCTGTACTGCTATCGCAGGCGTTTCTAGCTGATGGCAAAGGGATAAAAATCAGAGCTGAACCGAAACTGCCATGAAAAGAAAAGGTACAAATGGCATCTATAATGAAAGTGCAAGGGTACCAAACATTCCAATGGTTATAAACTATCCTTTGTCATGTATGTAGTGAAAATTTCACAAGGTCTTAGAAAATGACAGTGAATTACACCAGGTGCAGTCCGCATGCAACAGAGACCATGAAGTTCTTCAGTTGGAAACTAGGTTTTGGCATGTGATTTAGCCCCCACCCTGCGTATCAGTCGAGCCCATTCAAAGATGATTCGCGACTGATTTACAGAATAAAATTTTTCGTCCACTAATGCAACGGTCCAGAAACGGATGGTTCCTGTTTCTTATGATCAACGAAGGAAAGATCTTCAAGCCATAATGTTTCTGATTTTGATTCAATCACTGGTACACCTGTCAAGCTTCTTGCGTTATGTATTTTCTCCTGATGCCGCAAACTGTTGCAATGCGTATCTTAAAAGCTCTTCAGCGATTTCTCAACTTCCCATTTTTTATGGGTCTATCTGTTTAGGCTGACTTGCTATCATCGCTGTCAAGTTCATCTAATGCCAACAAGCACAATACGGCAGAGAAATTGAGGTTTACGAGGCCTGACTGTTAGAATGTATTTCAGATCAATAACAAGCAACGTTTGCACCTGTGACAAATGCCATATTCCGTGAAGCAGGCAAACCAACGTACCTCAATGAGGCATTTTTAGATTCTTTTTTTACTCCAACACATCTTGGTGGGGGAGTCAGCTTTTTAACAGATTCCCGTTCTTTTTCGGTACGTTTAGTCAAAGCAACGGTTTTCGAATTCCTCAGGCTGTTGAATAGCCCAACTGCTCATTCATGACATATTTGCAAACAGTGTTGTCATAAGCAAGCTGTCGAGATCAGCTTCGCGATGTTCCACGTTAATAGTTATTCGCAGTCTGTACATTAACACAGCGAATATGGTTGATTCAAACACGATGACCTATACGACCTTTCTTCCGGCATCAATTACGTACCATACGGGTTGCCAGAGTTAGCTAATGGTCGTCCAGTGCACCTTTTCACTTTACGGATACCAAAACTGTTCTGAAGTCCATTAAGTTTTAAGCGTATAAAAATTCATAAAAATCTCAGCTGTCGCGACGACCGTTCTCATGCTCCGATCCTTCCACATGTTATCCCTACAGTTTGCTATAATTCGTTGATGCCAGTCCGAAATGCTGGTTCACTTCAACACCAGTTTCATAACTATTAATCAGCACAGTCCCGAAGGTAGTTGAACTGGTCCACTTCATCCACCGTACAGTACTATTTTATAGCATCTTTGGGCTGTCAATTGCTGCGGGCGCTTTCACAAAAATTTTGGGTTTTTTCAAGCTCATATGCATTTTCCTCATTCCTGTAGCGGGCTGCAAATGGTTCAGTATTCATTGAATGTCATTAGACCATATATAGAGTCGCTTAATGTCATGATATCGTCTGGATACTTAAGGTCAGTTAGAAATACCACCGGATCCGTTGAGTCACGTCCAGCTGACGGTCACTTGATCAGTCTTTTATTGCAATTTTGGACGACACTGCCGAATTATAAAGATACAACCAGACTTGCTTAAGAATTTCGTTCGGCAGGATAAACGTAATTAGAATTTCAAGTCAGTTTTAACCTATCCCTAGTTGTTAATCAAAGCTAAATGTTTACATGTTTATACTATACCAGTGTCAATCACACTATGCTTAGTCGTTCGACCTTTGCCATGAATGATCAAGAGATGAGTAAACAGTAGCTTCTTCACTCTCTTCGTAAATCGCTGAAAAACAGGCTACAGCACCATCCTTCGTTTACACCGTCAGGCATTAAAAGCCACATACACAGTACGTCCATAATCAATCGTAAACAAAGCGAGAATGAAGCAAAGGAGCACGCAAGTGTCGCGTGGTCTGTCTGTCTTTCGG